TATACTTAGAATATTTCATAATACTTCTCTCAAAAGACGTTTGAACAGGTCGGTTAAAAAGACACCAAATAAATAAAAACGGATCAAACTACTAAAGCGCCATCTTACTTAGAGTCTGAACTAAGTCCTCCGTCGGTAAAATTTTTTTTATTTGCAATTTAAAATAGTGAAAATTAAATAAAACTAAAATGGGTAGACTCGCCCCGGTTTACGGTATATGGCGTTGCGAAAGCATTGGATTTGATTCAAATACTAAAAATGGCTTTTTCAATGCTGGCATGCCCTAAATAAATCAAATGCGAGAAAAAGAATTTTCACTTTTGTTTCGCTGAAGAAGAAATTCGTCTGCAAGAAACAATATTTATTATTCTTTTATCAGTTTCTTTGAATGCAAACAGAAATGCTTATATTTGTTACGATTATTAGTTATCATTTTCATTAATTCTTATTATTTGTTAGTTAATAATTTGTGTTCCTCATTTACCACAATTTAGCAAAAGAAAGCAAAAAGAAGGCTGTATTGATTGATATATATACAAATTGATATTCGTTCGCGCAGGGAGCTTGACATCCGAGAGTGCCTTAAAAATCCCTTTAGATAGATAATCATTGAAGTTTTTACCAATGCTTTGTCAGTGCAACTTTGGCTATGTTGACAAAACCCTGAAATTCGAGTTATAACAATATCAGTAGTATTTAATTTTTTTTATCCACTCCTGATACATCAGCCCATCTTGATACCTATGAATTTTGTTCTATTCATATGATCGAAGCCAATTTTCCATAAATGATCTTAGTTCTAATCCAACCTTACATTGCGCTTAAAAATGCATTTTGAACTTATAGCCTCATTTGACCACTGCCGTTCCTTCGGCTAACACTGTTTAACTTGCTATATTCTTCATCATTTTACCGCTATTTCTTTTTCTGGTAACCGTATTCTTCCTCGTACTCTAATCTGTTTCTAAGTTTTTATTTTTTCACGTTCGCAAGGGGGATCGTATTTTTGGGTGCTCCAAGCATGTCGAGCTTCCAATGCTTTCAACTATGAGGTACAAAAAGTTTTTTTCTATCTCGCTTCAGTTCCCTTGAGAGTATTTGTTTCAAATAATTAGTTAATTTGCTTTTCGATTTAAATCAATAAAATATTTTAAATGCTTAACTTCGACACAAATAATAACTAAATGCATTACGAGGAATAAGTGTTTAAAATTTTTGTTATGACATGATGTGTGATATTATATTTTATGATAATTGTGACTTTATGTCATTGAAACTAAAATTATGCATTTTATTTGCAACTATGTAAAATGGTAAAAATAAATTAAAAATATCGTTTTCAGTTTCAAAAACTGAAATAGTTTTTTTTAAAAAGAATTTCCCAATAAAATTAAATTTGTTCAATGAAATATGATTAAATAATATGAAATACACTTCAAAATGATACAAAAAAGACAGTTCATATCACAGTATCGTCAATTAGAACATCCAAAATAGTTCATTTTTCGTCGAAAATGTTTTAAATTCTTCTCTTTCATACATTAAAATCTTAAAACATTTATATTCGTCAACATTCATAAATATGTGATCTTTCATAATCGAATATGTCTCTAATTTATGTGCGAAAAAAGTATAAATATAGCCTGCAGTGCAAAATTTGAATGCACTGTTTTTAATCTAGGTCGTAGTTTATCACAGTTATAAAAACACACACGAATTACTCTTTATAAGTGGTCGCAGTCTTTCGGATTCGCTGGTCACAGGATTCGAACCTCTAACCCTTGGTGCAACGTGTATAACTTTAATACTGTTCTTTTTGTTCGGACGTGACGTAACGTCCTTGAAAGTACGGCGAGGTGGATGAACAGTAATTCCAGATTGACCTGCGGAAGAATACATTGAGTTGCATTCTAAAATTTGGCTGTGGTGGCAACAAGGTTCATTATTTTTGAAGCAGAGATAACCATTTTCCTGGAACAAAAAGACAATAAGTTATTAGTATTTAACAAGAAATGTTGTGAATATTGCATAGATCATCGCTCAAGTAATATTACTTTATGGATAATATTTTCGAATATGAAGTAACATTTTAATGTTAGATATAATTCTTCCCCTTTCATTCTGTGTTTCAAAACTGAAGAAGGTTCTTGTTTATACAAGGTCCAAGGATTATTGGGACAAACTTTTAGGGGAAAATAAAGGACAACACAAAGATTCAGAGTTGTATAGCAATCCATGGTCGAAAACGTTTTCGTTCGTATGTGGTTTTAGCAGCCCGCCACAGTGTCCAACACATTTTATTCCATGCTGGATGTTTAAGTCATTCTTGGCTCACCCTCACTATACCTATTACCCCATCAGGAATCAACCCATCCTTCTTAGAGGTTTTGAAATATTTAGCTGAGACACCCTGTATATAGCACAAAGTAAACCTTTTTTTTCATTTTGAGAAATGATTTGTAGGTATGGAAAAATTTTCCCCAACCCGCCCTTATTTAGGGCATAATGGTAAATGTTTATTAAAATCAAAAAATCCGAAAACAGTACAAACATAAAATACATATCAGACATGGCAAACAGCCCATGAACATGGCTAGCACAGAGCAGCAAAAATCATGTAAGATGATAAAACATTAAAACAGCAATATATTAAAAGTGTCAGTTAAAAGAAATAGCAAGTAGAAGTAGAAGAGTTTATAAAAGACATGGTAAAAGTTACAAAACTATTCCATCAATAAAATTGAGACACCCAAGCTGGAACAAGCAGGTTCCGAGATCATTAAAAACCGTCCCCCAATACATCCTCTGAAGTTTGTTTAATAATCTTTTTTATGATATTTCTCTAAGTCAGGTTAGCATAGCATTGATGTTGACTAATATTAAAGTGATTGCCCCGGACTATCTGGAATTGAGAACAATTCATTAACAATCAAAGTGATCAATAGATTGATATTCACCACAGTAATTGCATTCTGGAGTTTTGTGGAATAATTTATATTGGTGTTCTCCAAATACTCCGTGGCCTGTTAAAAATTGATTGAGATAGAAGTTTGCTTGTAGTCTATTTAATTTCGGGTCTTTAAAAAATTTGAATGTCTGTCTCCCTTTCTCGGAACTCTGCCATTCCAACCCCAGCGCTTCATACTATATAATTTAACCTGAGTTTTAATTTGGGCGATGAATTTTAAGATTTGTAGGTAATGGACAATTTTTGTTGCTGTTGCTGATAACTGTCACGTTGGTGTTTAATAGGCAATGACTTCCCAAAGGAAGACGAGGGGCCATGTAATTAGAACCCTAAGATTCCTGGTCAATAGTTTCTTCCACGCCTAGATGAACTCTACCTGTTTGGAAGTTGAATAAAACAGCAGAAGGCTATCATAGATTCAGCTTTTATTTTTAATCGCTTCTTTAAATCAATATCCTTTTCCGGAGGAACTGGAACGTTCAGAAAAGGATCATCGTGGCAGAAGAGCTTTCAGAAGGAGACAAGTGTTCACTCCCGCTTGCGCTCTGTTATTAAAAAACTATTTCTAATGAGATCTGTAAATAATTACTTTATCCAAATTATTTCGACAGCATAAATGTAAGACTAATTAAAATATAAGAGAAGAAATTCTATTTCCTGAGCATGCGAAGAAGGAAAACAAACTTTGAAGACAGATCCCTTATCTCAAGCAGAATCAACAATCGAATGATTGTCAATCCGGGTATTCAAGTTCAGCAAGGTTAACGGCTACAGTTAAAAAGTGATAGGTGCAAGGCATCACCAGAAAAGTAATTTTAAAAATTTAGGCGAAGACCGAAAGACTGAAAAGTGAGGATATTGTGATAGCAGCATCACAATAACAATGAAGGAAAATAGAGCTTACTTCATTTTTTGGTATCATATTCTCATCCTCTAAGTGATCTTTAGCATCTAGGAAGCAGGTAGGCACCTTAGCTGGACATTGATTTCGGGGACTTGTTTGAACGCCAACGTTCGCCCATGTAACATTTTTTTTCATAACTACGGAAAGTGTTTCTTCATCTGTATATTGAGGAATAGCACCTGTTTAAAATGTAAAATCGTTGTTCGTGATTCATAATGGCATGAATAACTGTGATCCAGTATTTAATTTACACCACAGCGAGTTTTTTTTAAAAAAAAAAAACGTAATTTGATATTTTATCGTACGTTGATTACACATCTCGACCGAAACGCATTTTTACACGAAGTATCATTCTGTGATAATTAAAAACTTATATTAAATACTTTAAATTAAATATTCAAATCTTATACTATAATACGAGGAATGGTTGCCAAGTCGAAAATCGCCCCAGAATTAATAAACTCCGGTAAACTTGGGGGTCTGGGGTTTTTGGCCACGAGGAATCGATTGGCGCCGGTTTTGAAGCGCTACGGTCGAGCAGTTCGGAGTTACAGATAGGATATTTTCAAACTTTATTAGTTCGCCATAATGGCTATAGATACTTTTCTCCACTCTTATAAATGTATGCTAATGCGAACTTTACAATAAGGAAAAGCGACGGTGACAACTTAAACCAATAATATACGAAGGAATTAATAATTTAATTGTAAGGTTCGCATTAGTTTACATTTATCAAAGTGGAGAAAAGTTTAACTTTTGTGTTAAAATCACCGTCAACAAAGTCCGACATTTCAACATTCATCAGATTTCAAGCTACATTTTCAACATGCAGAACGCACCTCTACATGAAATTCTTCAAGGAGCCGGAATTTTGGAACAACAAGCGATCAACTCAATTCTACCCGCAAATGGACAACTAGAAGATACCGTCATTGTCAGAATGCTTCTCCATTACGCCGAACAAGCTTACCCGACCGTCAAAGTTGCCGTACTTCACCCTGAATTTGTCGCACGCTTCTACGTTACAACAGCGGATGGCGCTTATGAAGGAATGGCTCTTCTCAACGATATCAGCGACCAGAACAAGGCTTCCAACTATCTATACGGCGTTCAACAAGGATTCGACGTGCTACTCATTCCCATTCACAAGAGAGCTCAAATGGATAGAGGCGAGCACTGGATGCTAGGAATTTACGAAGCAAGCTATGGAGAACGTCAACTATTAGTCTGCGATCCAGTCGACAACCCGCTGCCCATCGATGCTGTTTTGAGAAAAATACTGCGACACGTTTTGAATACCGTTGTTACGAATGAAAAGCTGAAAGGATGCATCGTGAAACCTCGCAACGCTTACAACCACCAAGATGACGCGTCTTCCTGCGGAGTTTACATCGTCTTTTATGCTCGACAATACCTCTCTCATCGACGCCTTTTCCTGGACAAGAATTTTCAAGAAGCGGATGAACGGAAGCAAATTTACGAATTCGTTGTGAACAGTGTCTTTAATTGTATAATTTTTTGTTATCAATTACATTTTATTTCCTATGACTTTTCAAACTTTACCTTTGTATAGAATAGTTCCCTTTCCAAACTTTGTTTAGATAGTTTACAATGGTGCACTTTAACCGGTTATCTTTTCACCAATGGTTTCACAAATTTCCTTATGGCATGTATTGTTTTGATAAATCACAATTGAAAATTTAAATCTTCGAGTTAGCTCTTCGATACCTGTTTTCTCCGAGCGGAGCTCGGTCACCCGCTGGTGAGTTAAAAATTTAAAATTAAAAACGAAGCAATGTAATTCAAAGTTACAGACAATATTGACAGATGTGTAAATTTTAAACTGCCATAGCATAGTTCACAATACTGGAATTAGGCAAATAATTCTGTCTTTTCTCGTATTTTTTAATTGTAAAACACTGAATATAATGTATTAATGTAATAAAATGTATTTTTAAACAGTAATTTACGAAACGAAACACTGATTCATCACAAAATAAAACCTGTTTTATAAAACCTTAATACTAGAGAACTACTGAAATTAATAATACAAATATAATAGATAAACTTACAGGGGTTGAACAAAAGTATCGAAACACTTCTATACTAACTCTATGCAAATAAATTTTCTTTTAACAGCAAATGTTTTGGGAGATTTTACATGGTAAAACTGCTTGTGATCACCGAAAATATCACCGAAAAAAATAAGTGTATACAACGCCCTATGTAAAATATAATAGCCTTTTTACCTTTTCTGTAACCAGCAATCTGTGGTGACACTGAAGACTCTGGCAACCTTAAACTGTCCTTTTCAGGTACCAAGGTGAGATATGTATCGCTACATATAGAAGCTGTTGGCGATATTAGAGGAGAATACCTGGAGACGTCTTCGAATGTAACAGGAGAATATAAAGAGCGAGTGTCTGGTGTTTCTGGCAGGTCGTAACACATACCACTTGTTGTTGGATCTGGTGTTATAAGTTTAGGTGTAAGAATATCGTCATAAAATTCTGAAGGTTTAAACCGACCATGCAGCCAGTATGTTTTCATTTCACCTTTACCCTTTGGAAAGAAAAATTTAAAAAGTGAGGAAACTCAACATAAATTTACTTGTTTCTTAAGATAAATATAATAGCTACACTTCAACGCTGTTTTTTGAAGCTCTGTCACCAATGAAAATAAAAAAAGTCACGGTTTTAGTGTCTTACAATTGAAACGATGCGATGATTTTAAACTATATTTATAATCTTGATGGGGAGAATTATTTGGGCTTTGAAACAGATAAATAATTTAAATATTTTTAAAGTTATTAAATTTTTTTAATAATCGCCAATTTGGCGATATTTTTTCGCCTCGATGAAAATCATCAAATCACTGCCTTATTCTCAGTTTTTGAAAATTTCTATGAGCCCAGATGATGCAGCATTGGAGTAAGCTTTATATAAAAAAATTAGACCACAAATGCTTTTCGTTTTCATAAAACTGTGATTTTTCTCCATACTGACATATTGCGCCATTTTCAAAATAAGCATGGAGTAACTGTTGCAAATTCACAGCAGTTTTAAAAATAGCATATTATTCGCAAAAAAGCATATTTTCAAATGACGACGGAGCCTTCAAAAAACAGTCTTAAAGTTTCAACCATTTTGAAACTTTAAGACTGTATATTATTACCATATTATGATTCGACGTTCTCTAAAGTTTTTAAAAGCATTATTATCCATAATGTTATTTTCAGCTTTATTGTACTCTATTTTTATCGTTGACCATAATGGTTGTAATATTATTTAGTGCTCTCGAGAATATCTGTGGGATTATCATAGAAAATAATTATTGTATAATTGATATTCATGTAAGATATGGTCAATAGATCCTGAGGATGCCTTTAAAATATCGTCAGTTTACAATATATCAATAATTTTTCTACTCTACCAGCAACTAAATGTAAATTTCGTTTTTTAAGGGAATCGAATAGAATATTCTTAGAATAACATTATTTTTTTATCAATTTTATTTTCTGTTTATTGTGAATTAACGTAATAAATGTTTAATTAAGAAATAAATTGGAAATAATGTTTTGGAATTCGAAATAACAAAGAATTTTCTGTTGAAAAGTTCATTTATTTTTATATTTCATTTCGAGGCTTCAAGGAAAGTGTTAAAATTTGATAAAACTAGAACATGCACAAACTTCTAGAATTTAATTAATTATTCACGAAAATTACTGAAGATATAAATTCTTTAACCTCCTAGCAACCGTTGCCTTTATACTGACGAAATAATGCGATATTATTAAATTTGAATGTTTAAGAATGCAGAAAATGAAACGTATTAAAATTAGCTTATAGGTAGCTACAATTCGTTTAAAAAGTTTAGAAAAATACTGAAAAAAAAGTTCATAGGATTAAAAGTACAAAATTAAATTCATCTCTAGAGAAATATATAACAAATACTTAAGTAGAGAAAACATTAAAGAAAAATGTCGAAATCAGTAGCTTGCTACGAAACGAATAATTATTCCTCATAAAAACTAATAAGCTTTAAAATAAGTTATGAAAATCTAATATAATTTATTTTAAATCTCAATGGGGATTTAACAGTTAATTCTAACATAAGATATATATAACTATTATCAATTATAATTTAAACCAGATTATTGAAAATTATATCAATTTTTAATTTTAAAATAGCTTTATAAGGTTTTCAAAAGTACAAATAAACCCGAAATTTTAATCCTATGAAAAATGATAGTTGGAAAAAAAAATACTTGGTCATACTCTGCCATTAGATAAAATGAAGAAAGGCTAAAACCCTTTAATTGATGATAAACTCAAATCAAAGAAAAAGAACCATTTGTTTAAACGTTAATTGGATTTGAGAGAAATAAGATAGCTTTAAAAATAAAATCCCAGAGAAAATATTAAAAAAAAAATTGGAACTTAATTGGTGTTTTTGGCTTTTTTCACCGAAAAGCTTGGAATCAATAAAGGAATATTCGGTAACAATCACATTAACTGTTAAAATTGATTTCCGTGTCATTAATAAAATAAGCTTTAATTCTATTTTATGAAAAAAAAAGCGTAAATTAATTAAAAAATCTAAAGTTTAATTTAGCATAGCTGAAGATAATATATATTTAAATTTAGCTCATATATGATTTAATTTTGCATAGTTATAAAAATATGCAGTTTAATATAGCGTATCCAATTTCGTATAGCTATGAGGAGCTCATAGTTTGAAATAACATAGCTATGAGGAGTTCATAGTTTGAAATAACATAGCTATGAGGACTTCATAGTTTGAAATAACATAGCTATGCACGTAATCTAGTACAAGCGTGATGAGTCAACACTGATCAGAAGATAGAAGATCTTCGTATGGATTATCATAAATGAGAAATCTGATCCTTAGTAGTCCGAACGTGGTGACATCTTTTTATTTTTCTCCCCTGCGCAGTTTATATTTCGTTGCAAGTTAAGAAAAAACCAATTGCGGTTTAGGATTTAAGTAATCATCCGCGTCTGTATATAGTCCCGTTCTATTTCGTTATCAAATTAAACAAATATCTTTCAAAACAGTCATAAAAGCTTTTAAAAGTTAAACACGCCAGACAGAAAATTAATTCATGCTATCTTTCACAATATATATCACGGAATTATCAACAAAAAAAAGTTTATAGCTTTGCAGTCTTACTAGAATCTTAAACATGGCGACATATTTCGATAAATGAAGAGAACATTCGTTCTTGTAAAGGAAACAACTATATGACGTTTCAAGAGCTTTGGATTTGATTAGACCACTAAAAATGGCGCGTCTTATGCTGACATGCCCTTAAAAAATCAAATGCGAGATTAAGAATTTTTATTTTTGTTCGTCATTGAAGAAAATCTTCTGCAATATTTATTATTCTTTTTTCAGTTTCTTCAAATACGAACAGAAAGGCGAGAAATTATTACGATTTTTAGATATCATTTTTTACTAATTCTTATTACTTGTTAATTGATTATTCAATAAGTTTTGTTCTCCTCATTTCAGATGATTTAAGAGAAGCAAAAAGGAGGCTGTGTAACGTCGTTTCCCAAGTTGGCGATGTTGATATTCGTTCGCGCTGAGAGTTTGGCATCCATTTGGCGCGCACTTAGATAATGGTTTTTTCTTAACTTGCAACAGAGTATAGTAGTCCGAACGGTGTAACATCTTTCTTATTTTTTACTCCACATTGAAGTTTATATTCGTTCCTTCGGACTACTAAAGTAATCCGTGTAAAGGCCTTCTTTTTTTAGAAAATATTGGATGAAAACCGGTAAAAAAATGAATATATCATCTAGTTTTAAGTCTTTAATACCGCAAGAAATAACCATTAAGTCAGAGTTGTATTACTAATATATACTTATTTCCACCAGTTCAGAAACTGAATAAATGCATCTGATTTGTGTGTTGAGCACTCTAAGTTATGAATAAGTGTGTGTCTATAATATGTGTGAGTCTTAGTAGATTTTAGCTTTTTGAAACTCTAACTATGAAGATCTCATCTTAATTCATTAAAATTCAGTCATCAGATCAAACGACGTTCATTTTTCTAGTTTTTTTGTTTTGTTATTATGCTAGTTAAGTATGTGGTGATTTAATTAGCTATTGACTCTTATCAATGATTGGTACTCTAAGTAATAGTTATTACTTTATTTAATACTTAGTGCTTCAAATAATGATCAATAGTTTAATTTATAGATACCGAGTTTCTTTTACTTCATTTGAAATAACAATAATTGTCTAGTGTGCTCAAACCTTAATTGCTGTTTCTCTCTTTCTGTATTTTTATTGATTTTATTTAGATATAATTTATATTCACGGTATTCCTCAAAGACCACTTTTACTTTGTATTTATAAAACCCTCATCAGAAATAAAAGCAAAGTGTACACACATTTGGGGTTGCAAATTAATGCTACAAAACGCCTTCGAAACAGAGAGAAGTAGAAAACAATAATGTTAAACATCATCAAGTTTCAACATTTCAACTTCCAATTAAACTTCTTTTATTATTATTTTTTATTTATTTAGTTTTTTTTACATTCACCTTTCTCTGCTGTAATTTGTTAGATTTCGATGTGTCGCAGCCGTTTCTGCTTTTTCCTAGCTTAAATATATTTTTACAACCACCAATGTACATACTTTTTAGTTTTCATGATGAGGATTCTAAAGATGAGGATTAGATGAGGATTCTAAAAATACATATTAAGAAATGTATTCCATGGAACAATCTCCCAAGGAACACCCCGGAAAAACGGATTTTCTGAAACACCTTGTTTAACTTATGTACAAATTTATATAATCATTTGAGTTACTATTATTTAACCATTTGTTTACGACTGGCACAACATGTGGACCGCATATGATGGTACAATGTGGTATACCGTAAGCAAAGGGCTAAAAGGCTATCTTTTAAACTCCGGTAAATTAGATTACCTTTACAGGAATTGTCCCTCTGCCGGATATATCCCACTCTGTTGGATCCAACTTCATTCTCGTTCTCTCACTTATATGAATTTTTAAAGCCTAAAATTAAGAGTAAAAATATGATTAAAGTTGAGTGTATAATCATTTATCTCACTAATCTAAACCTAAAAAAAAAGAATGAATGTTAGACACATTTATTAGCATGATTAAGTTAACATTATTATGCTTTCAATATTTATTCACTTAGCTTTTCAAACACTTAAGAAAATACTTGACTTGACCGCTGCTGTTTAGTTAAAAATAAAGTACAGAAAGCAATTTATGATAGAATATATTAAAACAATAGAGAAAATAGGAAATTGCCAATTATAACCGTATTCAAAATTATGAATGACTTAAAAAAATTTAAATATGCTTTAATTAATCAGATATGTACAGTGCGAGCAAAAAGAAAATGCACGCGCTTAATGACTTTTTATTTACTGATCAGAATTTCACGCACCAGAATTAAATCTTAGTGGTTTGAGAACTTAACGTTACATAAGTCAATTATTTCAGCTCCTCTCCATGTAACACAAATGTGGGTTAGGTCTGACAAAAAGTCCTCCACAAAGGCAAATTTCTCCCAATACTCGATCCAGGAGTTCCCTTGTCTTCTGGATTGGGTTCAAAATTACAAAACTACGGAGTTGAACATTAGAGTCGTAAACCCATGCAAAATAATTGGGTCGGCTGTTCTACGACGGTTACAAAATAAAATAAAATAATTTTAACTAAGCCATGGTGGCTTAGGGGATAGAGCGCTCATCTTCCAATGACGTGAACCAGGTTTGAATCCCAGAAATGACTGCTCAATTCGAAATTCCGCATCCAGTATGCACCGATCACAGTGCTGACGTAAAGTATCCTCAGTGGTGAATGGATTATGGGTTAGAGTCCCCTTGCCATCAGGCTAACCATGGGAGGTTTTCGTGGTTTTCCTCCCTACGGAACTCAAATGCGGGCAAATTTCATCAAAAAGTCCTCTACGAATGCAAATTTCTCCTAATACTTGATACAGGAGTTCCCTTGTCTTCCGTATTGGACTCAAAATCACAAGGCAATGGAGATGAACTTAGGTAGTCGTAAACTCAAAATTGGGTCTGCTCTTCGTCGACGGTTATAAAATAAAATATTTTGTTACAAATTGTATTATTACATGTTATAATAAATGTATAATGAGTAAGCTATATATGAGGTGTCCAAAAATTTAACACGTTTTCGCAAATGGCGGCTATAGCTGTTCAATTTTTGGTGATATGAAGGCATTTGTCGGCTACAGCCCTCTTCCATTTAAATTAATAAAAATAAGAACATCCTTTTCACAATGTGTAACAATGCGATTATTTGCTAATTATTCAATCAATAATATGGGTCGAAAAAACAATTGTATCATTCCGACATTTTTTCAGTGAAGGAAAAAAATGTCAGGATTAGCAAATGATTGTTGCGAGAGTTTTCCTCGAAAACTGTGTCAAAATGTGATTATTTTAACTTCTAAACTTACGATTGACGCTCAAATCTTTTGTAGTTAGCAAGTTAGTAGTCTTTCGTAGTTGTTTTCGAGCGAGATATTGAAACCTGCATAACTTCTGTCGTGATTTTCCCCTTCTCAACATGGTTTACGAATCCCTGTTCTGTCTCAAGTATTCATATTCTTGATGTCTTTTATCACCCCTGTGGCGTAACTACCACTACGATTATTAATCACTACGTTTATTAAACATCTATTCACAAGTACATAAGACTTGATAACTTGAATCAATCTTGAGATACCTTTTGATAGTTGACGGTTGGCATTGTCAAATGGTCTTTCCTTACACCCCTTTGAGTTAGTTGCTCGAATTTAAGAACCCCAAGCATTGTTAAAAATTCTATTTAAAATCGTTTCTAACAGCAACAACTATGTATGGTGAGCAAAAAAAAAGTGGAACACCCTGACTAACTTTTAGGCTGGTTATCGGATCTTCACGTACTAGTACACAATCTTAATGGTTTAAAGGAATGAACTTAAATATGCTAATTATTTAGTACAGAAAGTATTTTATTTCAAAAAAATCAGGTACAAAAACGTACTTTCTCTGAATAAACATACCTTTTTTCTGTCGGATTTCTCATTTTCAAAATATGAGGGGTAGCAGCCATCTAGGAAACATGGTCCAAATTGTTTGGTTAGGAAAGCGGTTCAAAATTTGGACCCCGTAATGATAATTTTACTTTTGCATAGTTCGCCTGTTTTTGAGAATTATTTAAGCGAATTGAAAAGTTTTTGTACACAATTACAAAATTCGTTTATCCAAAGGTAATTCCGTGCAAAAAGATAAATTTTAAAATTTATTAATTATCTCCATTTAGAAATGTAATGTATACAAGTTTTTGAATCATATTAAATAAAATAACAAATAATTATAAAAAAAATTTTCTCGCTTGGCAATATTTTTGATAAACGAATTTTATAATTGTGTGCCAAATTTTTTCGATTCGCATAAAAAATTCTCGAGATGTGGCAGAATATGAAACAAAGTAAAATCAATTTATGGCCCACTCAGCTTCAGATCGATGGGTACCAACTTATCTGGGAAGTATAGGTGGTCTGTGCGCAGTGCTCACCACATTGTCACAATCATGCCGTTGGTCACGAAATTGTGGAGTCTCAATCTTCATGACCCCTGGCCCTAAACGGATTGTTGCTGGAATGTTTTTAATTAATTAGCATATTTGAAGTTACCATTCATATTGAATCCTAATTCGTGAAGATTCGATCCCTATATCAGAAGTTGTTATGGTGGTGTTATTTTTTTGCCCGGTAAACATGGTTCCATTATCTAATTCGTGAAGATTCGAATACTAATTCGTGAAGATTCGATCCCTATATCAAAAGTTATTATGGTGGTGTTATTTTTTTGCACTGTATACATGATTCCATAACCTTTAAATTGAATTTCGATTTGCTTTCTTAGAGATTAATGAGAAATTCTTCAAAGTCACATGCTATATCGTTCTTAGAAAAATAAAAATGATGAAAGACAAAAATCCTTAGGAACAATTTGGCAGGAACGATAGGCGCCATAAATAAAGAGAGCTATTCATAACTAATGATGAGGAAAATTCCCCATTTTGGAAATATTTGAGTTGAAAAGAAAGAATGACGCTAAAGGGAAGAAAGGAAGAGATTCTTTTGAAAAAGAAAACATATTTTAAGTAAGTTTTGGTTTTGAGTAAGAAAAATGTAACCTAGTTTCATTGTGATAACGAATTATTGCTTTTCAAACTTCGAAAATAAGTTTTCGTGACATTTAATGAAACAACTTTTAAACAGCAATTCATTCTTGATATTTAATATAATAATTCTTGCATTTGTAGTTTGGAAGCTTCCTAAGTATCGTTAAATTATAAAACGTTTGAATGTAAACACAATGTCAGAAATTTAATTAGTAATTATTTTTAGAAAATTAATTAGTTTTTAGTTTTTTAATTAATGATTTAGAAATAGAAAATAAATAAGTAAAACAGTGATATCTGAATTTATTACTGAACGTTTGGAGAATTCTGAGCAGAGGTTTGATGAAACATTTAATTAAATTTATAGTCATTTAAATAAAAAGTAAAGAGTGGTGTCGAAGTCAAAATTCTGAGCTGTAGTTATAAAATGAATAAAAGTAAAAAAGAATTCAGTATTGTGCCAGCATTGAAAGACTTTTTTTATGAAGCAGTTGCCAAGATAGTAGCTTTGAAAATTACATGAAATTCAAAATTAATTAGTAGATTTTCTTTTTACCCAATTTTTACTTACTTGGATTAGTATCTAGTTTATGCAATTACTCATAATTTTCTTTTTAGATATGCATTACCTTTATACTGTTAGAAGAATTCTTTCAAAACTGGACCATAAAACAGATTTCCTGAACCATAAGACAGTACAAATGAGTAGTATTAGTTCATTTACGTCGCACTAGAGCTGCACAATGGGCTATTGGCGACGGTCTGGGAAACATCCCTGAGGATGATCCGAAAACATGCCATCACAATTGTGATCATCTGCAGAGGGGATGGCACCCCCACTTCGGTAGCCGGCGACCTGCACGCGAAATAGAGCACTTTACGATAGAACAGTTTAACGAGGACCAATACCGCACACCCTCGGTCCCTACGCAGACTGATCCAAGTGGTCACCCACCCGCACACTGACCGTAGCCAGTGATGCTTGACTTCGGTGATCTTCTGGGAACCGTGTCTTAACGATCAGTCCACTGCGGGACGACAGTACAAATGAAGCTAAAGTATTATGACTCAATGGAGAGTCTGTAACCATACTTTTAGAAAGTAAATATAATATTAACCCGGTTTCCTGAGTCATCTCTCGCGCAGACTATTAAATACTTTTTAACAGAAAAGCATAAAACTGAGACAGAAGTTATTGCGAATTACTTTATTCAACAATTTAATATATCATAACAAAACCGAAAAAAAAAATTATTTACAAGAGAAAAATATTCGTACATTTCACGACAGAGGGAGAAAAAAGGAAAAATCAATTAAAGTATATCGTGCTCTCCTTAAATACCTATGACGATCTCTCAAGTTTCAGATATACGTGTGATATAACGTATGATATACATGAAATATATTGTGACATACGTTGCAGAATGACTGCCTTCAAAAGAAATTAAGGAATCATCAGTCAACAAGTTCGGTTTAGAAGCCCACTTTCTTGGCGCAGATGGTGTGCAACATTTTACCTTTCAACATTCTGGGCTCAACCTTTCAACAACCTTTCAACAGCGTGGCTCAAGCTGCTACACGAATTTGCCGAAATCTTAATTAGGTTCTTGGTTCTAGTTCTAGTGTATTTATGTCACTCTAAAGCTGCACAATGGGCCATTAAATCTTAATTCGGTGTTACATTGAAACGTGTAATCGTTCAAGTTTAACGGTAGAATCGTGTTATCAAATTTTCTTTCAAGGATTAATATGATACATTTTGCCATATTAATGTTACAGGAAATTTAAAAAATATTACGAGTCAACGCGTTAAAGATTGGTTAAAAAATGAAAGAAACTTACATCACTTGTACTTTCCATTCTTGAAGCTGTGTTGACAGTGTCGCCAAAAAGGCAATATCTGGGCATTTTCAAGCCAACAACGCCAGCTACAACTGCTCCTGTATGAACACCTATTAATAACAAAGAAAAAATATTTAGTTTACTATGAGATGATTATTTTTAGTGAGAGATAATTTGAATTTGTTCTAAAATCATATCTGCTCCAGAAACATCGTGTTATTCTTGAAATATTGCATTGTAAAAATCTTATTTGCTACTTTTTGTTTTAATCAGATAGTCCTTTTATTACCTCGATTTACTTACTTTTTTTAAAATCTTATTTGCTTTTTTGGTGCAGGAAAAATTTTAAAATCAAAATCTCGATAATTTTACAACTAGCTAGAATGTCTACATTTCAACTAGAGCTCCATGCAGGTTATCAATAAAAATTGCTATTATTTTTTGATAGATCTTGTCCAAATTTATCACCAATCATATTTTTGACTATTTTTTAACAAAAAAAATTACGGACACAAAACTTGTGTGAAGAAAAAGAGTAAAAATTTCAAAAATGAAATTTTTTGTGTCGAAGTAAAAGGAGAAAAAAAATTAATTTTTGTCACACCTTAAATAAAAAACGTAATCCACATCCCTCTCTTAGTAAAATTTGGTAACTATCTAAAAAAATGTCAATTTTTCAAAAATGATGCCCCGTACGGTTTTCGTTTTTGTGTGACAAAAATTTAAGTTTGTCTTCTTATTTATTATAAGATAGTGAATTAAAGCTGTTAATAACAATTGTAGCTTAATGCAATAAAGCTAATACAAGTGTTTATAAAGAATTACTACTAAAATACATTTCAGCTAATGACAAGAGATAGCCTATTTCTTATTCTGTCACATGTCAGAAACGTATGTGTTCCAGTGCCACTAATGTATCTCATAAAACGAGAATTTTAACAGAGAAAAATATATAAATCTATATATATAAAAGTGAATGTGTGTCTGTCTGTTTGTCTGTCCTCTATAGACTCCTAAACCATCCGACAGAAAGCTATGAAACTTGGCATACAGATAGTTCAAAGCACGAGGAAGGTTTCGGTCGATATTAGAACATTCTGCGATAAACCGTTCCAGCGATATCAGTGAAAGTCGAAATGGAATTTTCTGATTGGTTAAAAGCTAGCCATTGTTTTAAATTTTGCTATAAACGATTCAATTTTCAAATATCTTGAAGATAACAACAGTGATATTTTCTATCTTATAACTCTATTCATTTAGAAAAGTAAATTAAAGTAAATTGCATATACTTTAATTTTTAATTCGCGCTTTTCTTTATGTCAGGTGAGCACAAGCAAGTAAAATCAACGAGAATAGATTTCTTAATTGTTGGTCGTATCACGGATTCAGTACTGTGAAAACTGTTTAATAAATATAAAGACAAAAGCAAATTTCATTCAAATTGCACGTTTTCAGAAATATTTATATTTAGTACGTAATTTTAGGTTAGCAAAATTAAATATACTTTTCGAAGATTTCAGTGCTGTGACAGTTGTCATTTGAAAACTATTAGTTTGTTTGTTTATTTATGCAAAGTTTTCGAATTCATCCATTTTATTTCTTTCATTTATAAAATTGATTTTTGTTTTAAATCTTATAATTTTCATATTTCTTATTCATCTCATTTTTATTGCTCTTTTTATTATTTAAAATATGTATGTGATATTTCGATTTAGCAAATTTGCGACCACTGCCAACTTTTACATTTCTTTTTCGTTGTCAGAAAGAATATTTGCAAAAATATGCCGCCTAAGCAAATCGCTCTTAGTCGGTCGACATCTCAAGCGCGCAAAAAGAGAACTACCCGTGTTTCAGAAACATCGGAGCAACGGGAAAAAGACTTGAAACTAATCGAGAACAGAATGCTTTTGCCCGTTCCTTAGAAACGTCTGAGCAACAGGAAAGAAGACTGTCAACAAATCAACTACGAACTACACAAGCCCGTTCGTCGGAAACATCAGAGCAACGGGAAGCAAGAATGAAAACCGACCGAGAACGCATTTCGCTATTCAGACGCTGCCAATACTCTGATTTGAATTTCAGTGCATTTCACTATGATCCGACAACAAACTATAGTCTTCCCCCAAGTGTCATCATCGGAGAAATATATCAATTATGTATGTTTTGTAATGCTCTCAAATTTAAAAATGAAACAGCTGAAATTTGCTGTTCTAGAAGCATACAGAAACTACAAGATTTTACGTCGCCTGCCGAGACATTATCAACCTTCGTATCAGGTCAAACAAACCAATCGAAACATTTTTTGGCGCATATACGCCGGTACAATTCGTGTTTCTAAATGACTTTATTCGGTGCTACACGTATCCTGAACGAGAATTACATCCCAACATTCAAAGTGCAAGGCCAAATTTATCATCGTGCAAGGATCACTTCTTTCAATGCCTAACGCAGATCATAAATTTCTACAAATTTATTTCATGGATAACACAAATGATCAAGTCAATCAACGTTGTCAGGTAAACAATGGCACTAAACGAAAAATTGTTACCGTATTACAAAAATTTTTCGATCAACATAATCAGTTAATTAGGCTGTTCACAATTGCCCTAGACTAAATGTCATCCGATATTTACAAAGTTGTTATTAGAGCTGAAAAAACACCTGTAGGCCACCACAAAGAAAAATACAATGCGCCAACATTGGATGAAGTGGCTATTGTTATAGTTGGCGAAGAATTTACCTCCCGCGATACAGTTCTTCATCGCAGAAATCGTGACGTTCAAAGAGTTCTCAGAAACGTATCGATCATATGATGCATTGCAATATCCTATTTTATTTTGGTGAGGAGAGGAGGGATATTATTTTAACATAAAATTAAGAAGTCCGCAAACAGGCGAGAAAACCAATAAGAAAGCAAGTGCAATAAGTTTTTATGCATATAGATTAATGATTGCCAAAACGCTGATAATCATACTTTAAAATGTCGACAATTAGTTCATCAATACATTGTCGATATGTATGCGAAAATTGAAACTGAACGCCTACTGTATATTAAATTAAATCAAACCAAATTACGTTCAGAAGAATGCATTCATTTACGGGATGCAATAATTAATGATGGTAACGTTAATCCTAATGATGTGGGGAAAATGATTATATTGCCGACTACATTTGCAGGGAGAAAAACTTGGACTCCCTGCAAATGTAGTATTCATACATGTCTGAGTATTCATACATGTGCCTTGGACTCCAAGGCACATGTATGAATACTCACAGGATGCAATGACATATGTTCTCGCATATGGGCTCCTAGATTTATTTATTACATTTACGTGCAATTCTGCTTGGGTTGAAATTAGAGATATTTTGTTACCAGGACAATCATCATCGGATCGTCATGATATTACAGCACGTGTGTTCAAACAAAAATGATAATCTTTACTTGATTTCATTGTGAAGCGTCATGTTTTTAGAGAGACACGGTGTTGGGTGTACTCTATTGAATGGCAAAAACGAGGATTGCCTCAGGCACACATTCTAATTTGGCTTATTGAAAAAAAACCACCTTCTAAAACTGATCAGATATCAGCAGAAATTCTTGATGTCACCATAGATCCAGTCTTATTTCAGATCATTGTCCAAAATATGTTTCATGCTCCGTGTGCATCACCATACATGTCTGTTTGAAAATGCACTAATGATATCCTAGAGAATTAACTGCTTTTTTTCACCATTAAATAAAATTTGCATTTCAAATCATAATCGCAAATGTCATTTACACACTTAAATACAAAATTCAAATTCAAATTGAAAGCGTTGCAACGCACGCAGGGTACAGCTAGTATATTTATAAAATATACTCAGACCAAAAAATTGCTTTGAATCGTAATAACCTAATTATTGCCATAACATTCTTTTCGTATCGTTACAGCCTATATCAGGTAAAAAAAATATCCACTGGCTATCGACTATTTTGAGCTGGTGAGTACGTTTTGTCTTATGAAATGTGCTGCAAATGAAACTACCATATTTTTCATAGAGATGTGAGTTTTAATTTGACAAATATTAAAAATGAGGAGCAATTGTTTTAGACCTTAAGAGGGAAAATAATTGAACATACAAAGATGTACAGTGAGGGGAAAAAAACGGAACCACTTTGAATATTTTTTGATCCTCCGTTTTAAGACTTAATCTTAATGGGTGACCTATGATAATGCATGACCTATGATAATGGGTGACCTTAATGGGGTTTAATATGGGTGACCTATGATAAGGGGTATGCTAATTAATTAGTGTAGATGATATTTTAAGATACGAAATTATATACAAAAACGTACTTTCCATAAATAAACAAATATTTTTTTCGACAAATACAGATTTCTGACTCGCATTAGCCGTAATCTAGCCATTTTTTTTATTTTATTTATTTTTTAAACACATGAAAATTTACTAAAAAAATTAAAACAAAAAATACTTGAATTTTCCCTGAGCCCGGCTAACCAAAAAATACCCTGAAATTTCATGACTTGACTTAGTTATTGCCGAAGTATTGATTTGTAACTAAACAACATAAACACTACCAATACATTGGATTGTATAATAACATTTTACGTAAAGTCGGCCATTATGACCTACTTTCATGTTAATTTGGAAGCCAAAGAACAACAAATAAACATTAGATAAAAGCTGGCATTGCAAGAAAGTAGATTGTTAATTTAAAAAGAAAATAATAGTTGTAATTTTATAAGTGCTTAGTATATTGAATACATAGGAATAATATTTATCAGGAATAATTTTTTTATAAATCAATTGTAGTATTCTGAGTTAAAATTAGTATTTAACATTTATTCACTACTGTTGTAAATTTAAATGCCAAGTAGAAAATATTTGAGATTAGATTATAATTATTTTTACACAACAAGGCATATACAATACAAACAGGAATATACAAGAAAATATAAACAAGGCAATTATTTTTGTTTAATTATAGTACAGGATACAAACTACTTAGCAATTTTTTAAATATCTTAAAAAAGTTTTAACTTATAGATGTTCATAATTTAATTTTAAGAATATTGGTGACAGATATTCTGAAAATTTATTTTTTTAAGTGCAAAATATATTCAAAATTTCAGTTTCGTCTAATATTCATAATTTGTATTCCTTGAAGTTAAATTACGGGTATTAAAACAAATTTTGTAAAAATAATCTATTTCGTATTCCAAACATTTTAGCGAAAAAACTTCGTAAAATAACAAATTAACATAACAAAAATTGAAAATAGATTGTTTGTCATTTGCGTAGTTAAATTATTTGTGTTTTATGTTTAAATAAGTACTCTAATTTTCTTTAAAACAACATTTGATAAATACTGAATTAACAATGATAAGAAATGTTTCGTTAGTTTAGTTAGTTAGAATCAAAACATTTCTTAAGAGTTTGGTATGAAAAAATTTCTGTCAATTAGAAAAACATTTTCGGAATGAACTTAGTGAAACTAATTAACAAAGCGATTCACAAATTAAATCCTTGTCATTTGCATGCATATTTGTTTATTTAATCCAACAAGCTTAGAAAATGCATGTCAAATAAAAAGTTATTTAGTACCTCTATGCTTTTGCATTTCTTATTTGAGAAAATTATTTTTTTTTAAATTATTATTTTTTTAAATTCTTTTCTAACTGTTTAAAGAAAAAAAGTGCGTTAGTTAAAACTTATAAACCTGACTAAAAAAAGGCTTAAAATAAGCTTAGAGGTTTACAGTTAACTCGCAATAAATTTATTCCTTCAAAATTGTGAAAAACAGTTTGTTAAAAGATGCAAGTTGTAAAAAAAAATGTAAAAAAAGGAATAACATGTTATGTTTGAAATCAAGTTAAATATAAACAACAATATTTTTGAAAATTTTCACGAAATAAGCTCATTTTAATTGTTCTAAATTTAATATTTAGATACCAATTTAAATAAATCTTACCAAAAAGATTTCCTTTTCTTCACAAATTTTAAAAATGTATAGTTAAAAGAAACTATTACGAGTCATAAACAAAATTTAAAATTGCACACACTGTAAAATTTGTGAGGATCATTTAGAATATGAGCGAATTAAACTGTTTTTCCCAATACTTTCACATAAAAAATTTTACTTTCATAAGAAAAAAATTCGAGCATTGCAATTATACTTTGGTTAATATTTGTAAAGATAATTAAATTAATATTCAATCACTGCAAAAACCGCAAAATACGGTTCTAAAAATATTTATTGCATGAAAAAGTGCATCCACATACTAGTCATAATTTAAGTCAATTTGGTGTAAAAAAAAGAATAACTCAGTTTGTGTAGCCTTTATATGCAATGCTAGAAAATAAATTTTTCTGGTTTTGTGACAATATACGCTATAGTGCTTTACATGAGATAGATGTGCAATCCTCACTTGAATGTTCTAACCACAACATTTTTAAAGCATCTAAAAGCAAGTACCCTATTAGAATTCTTATTTTAAAATTATGGTAAAATAGCAGGCAACAGTCTGTCCTTTTAATTAAATGTTAAGTTTGTGGTTAACCTTCACAATTTTGTAACCATTTCTTTACCTTTACTGATTTGAAACCACTTACAACTGGAATGATAAATAATAATAAAAAATAAAAATAAAAATCTGAAAAAAATTATATGATTTTGTAACTAATTAGCATGTTATCACAAAATTGGAGTTAGATTACGCTGGCTTTTCGTTATGTAATGGAGTTAGATTATGATTAAGCTGCGTTTTGTCAAGTAAACCGTAACATTCGGTTTATCTAGTGGTGAGATGTCCCATCTATTGCGAGAGATGGGAAGTACTACAATTTTTGAAGTTATACTTCTTATGCGACTTCCAACAAGGTAGAGTTAAATGTTTAACGTTTTTAACGCATTTTTATTTGAGTTAAGCTGCTTTGTGGTACTGCCATCTACGCGTGAATAATAGTTTAGTATTCCAGGATCACTGATTGAGGGGTGCGAGACACAGGAAACTTCTCATGTGTTGAAGGAATGGAGGAAATATTAATGTACCAACGCTGGTACCTAAACTCCCATTCAGTCGATCATGAGATTGACAAATCAGCCGTCTCTAAGTATTGACCCAGCTGCAAGGAACTAAGTGGCTTCATAAGGTCCTCACTATATATTTATTGCTATTAGATTATTAGGTGTCCGATGATGGAAAATAAAGATATGAATTCGTAATCCTTATCACACGGCTTGGCTTAAACTTTCGAAGAACGTGCTCAAGATTCTCATTGACTGTGGGCCTAGTTGGCGCCGGATAACCCTTTGACGCAAAATTTTTATTAAATATATTTCTCATACTTTTTTTTAATTATTTTGTATTAATTTAGGTCAAAATAAGTGAAAAGTATAATATTAAGTACTTCAATAATTTATAGTTATGGAATACAGCATGAAACAGCGGTGTCCTTTTTTTTTTTTTTTTTTTTTGAAACACGGCTCACTTCCAAACAATAATTTTTCAAATTTCCACTTACTTGCAATTATTTAGATTTCCACTTATTTGCAATTATCAATAAGGGAAGCAGTTGTTCATTCATTGAAATTTACAAATTCAATCAATTATAAATTTTTGAATATGAATGAAAAAAAAATCAAACTACTTTTTGGGGATTTTATATTTTAGTGCTAATATAATTCCGATAATCTTGCAGATTTTTTTAGTAGCTATTAGACTGTAGTTTATAATAAAAAAATTAAGAAAATTATTTTTGATTGTCATCAGAGAGGCAGAAAAAAATATATACTTGGGACACCGGTGTCCTATCTGGGGGACACATTTTGGTTGTTTATTAACCCTATTAGGTGAAAACAGTTAATAAGCAATTTTTACCACAGTTATCAGTTTGAATACAAACTTTTTTGACTGTTTTTGTTGAATATGGTAAAATAACTATTAAACAAATTGTTATTTAAAAAAAAAAAATTCGAAAAATTTCTAGCATTATAAAGTGATCGCATAATTTCGTTATAGTAAAAATAATGCATGTTAATGTTTTGTTATATTTACGATGATCTTCCCAGGAACTTTATTTGAAGGAATTACTGGTAAATTTTTCATAACATTAAAATACACGAAAGTATTATTCTTTCCAATTCCATTTGAATCTTTTGGAATAATTTGTAATTCAATGCTTACCTACTCTGATCTTTAAGCTCTGACCTGTAGAGGGATCTTTGAGGTCTTCAATTACAACAACCATGTCCAGCGCCATTTGACAAACCTTTTCGGCATGTTTTTCTTCTATTTCTGGAGCTCCTGATACAACCATGTAAGCATCACCAATTGTTTCCACCTGTTATATCATTTAAGCATTGCGATAAATTTTTGACGTAAACATACAGAGAACAGTATTTAATTAATTATCAGCTCGCAGAATGATATCGACAAAAAAAGAGTGCTTTCTAATATTGTATTAATATAGCCAAAACAAAATATATCAATACAATGCAACAGATACAACACAATATTAATACAATACAACTTATATATATATATNTATGTATATATATATTATTTCATCGTCATAAGTAAATATTAATTTAGAACATGATCCACTTTCAAACCTTAAAACTACAGAAAATATTATATTTCTTAATAACACATTTCAGTAAACTGTATCACTTAAATAAAGAATATGTTCATTAACGAGCATTTCTGATGCATTTTTGAAATTAAAATAAATAGAAGAATATTGTTTACATTACTTTAAATGTAAAAGTGTTAAGTGTAAAATGTTGTTATTAAAAAGTTATTAGTTACTATTACTTTAAATGATCTTTCACTAATTCCCTTTGTTCACAAGTTTCTATTAATTTAGGGCCAAAACAATTGGATATATGTGCTTATAATTGTCTCAATATTCATAAGAATATACATACAATTGAATTAACTTTGTCAAAGGTTTAGTAATGATTGCAAAACGGTTCTGGCATAATCGAATACAGTTAGATGCATTTGTTAAAATTCTTTTGTAATGTCGACATTGATCACATTTTATCAATACTTTTAAATTATGAATAACTGCTCTCATCCTTCTCCAACTTCTTAAATTGATAAAAGCGTGTAAAATTATTCATGATCATCGACTTTCTATATTAAGTTAGTGGTTGGTAAAGCGCACAAACGTTCTGCGTTTAGTTATTTCTTTACAAATATAATAGTTCGATAGAATATAACATAATTTCATTATGCAATTGATAGACTTTATGAAAACGCAGTTTATAATCATGATGTAAATAAGAATTATTTAACATCATCCAATCTAGGGACAAATGTTTATTACACAAGAGGGTTATGAAATTAATTAAATCAGACGCTAATATCTAAATATTGTATTCTAATCTCATTTATTCTTTTGGTTGTCGCTTAAACAAAAGAAAAATAAATGAACAAAAAAAACACGAATAATATTGCTTTAATAAAAGATTTTTAACTATACAATTTTGTTTATTGAGAAATAATTCGTTTTGAAGTAAATACTTATTATTATTCATAAAGTCTAATAGATTAATAATGTATGAACGAAGAGAGCAAGTTTCATCAGAGATTTCAAAAATGTTTTGTCATTAATTAAATTTGAAGTTCTCTATAAATTGATTAATGAGTTCAAGAGAAAGTTTTAAAGATAAAACAGATGTGCTGTACAGTGAGATTCTTTGAAGATTTATCGGTAATTACTTTCTAAAATGACCTTCTTCTAAATTAATTTTGATACTAATTCAGTTAGGGTTCAGCAAAGTATTGTGAAGCAAGGGTGAAACTATTTCCTGTGTTGACACTATATTTGATCTAAAATTTTTAAAAAAAAATTTTCTACAGCTCAATTAGTTTGCATAATTAATCTGACACAATTAATCTCACCCTTATAATTAATAATTCCCATAATTTATTACGCATGAATACATAATTTGATAATTATTCCATGTTCGTGATAGAACTGTTTGCATAGATGAAAACGCATTTTTTATGTGCCAGAAGTATTTCTTTGAACCATTTCATGAGAAATTCTAGGTGTTCAAAAATAGTCAATGACTTTTTAAAATAAAATCAAGTCAAAAAAATTCTCATTCCAGCATGGATGTGAGTCAGAAAAGTCATGGAGTCTAAGACTCATTAGTTTCGTGATCAACAAACATGATCATGACTTAATGTTACCTTTTATAAAGTTACCTTTTATATAAGTTCATTAGTCAGCATTGTGACCAACCGTATTTGCTACAGAGACAAGCAGATACCCAATGGTGTAAATCTGTGTGGGCTTCAAGTCCCCACTAATGATCAAACAACAATCCTTCACAATGATAAGCCAGTATTATTGATCATTGAGCCACCATGACTCTGTACCTGATTAAGAATATAAATGCCTGCTTTGGATACCAAGAATTTAGTTACAAAGCTCGCCAACAGATGGCACTTGGGACTTTTTGATCTAAAACCTGATGCAGGTCAGACTGAAATATAAGCACAGGTATCAATAAATTTTTCTCTGACTGCACCATGTACCTACTGCAAAATTAGGTCATTTTGAAAATAAATTGTTTAATGTTTCTTCTTAGGAAGTTATGCACTTGTTGACAAAATTGAGCATGTAATTTTATGTTTGATATCAAGCCTTCGAATTCCGTTACTTCTGAAGTTAGAAATTTGAGATTGCCAATTTGTAACAATGACTTTCCGGTATCGTTTGTCCAAAAAACTGTGATGGAGATCTATTGGAAGATAAGAGGCCGGATAGATGAGGCAAGATAGAAGTGGGCAGATGGCTAAATGTGAGTCCTTCCGTGGTTCAAACACTTTGGCAACAATTTCTAACCACAGGTTTGGCATTCAGGTTCAGCCAAGGATGGCCAAAGGCTACAATTTGTGCTTATGACCAATATTTATCGTGATGTGTACGAAGGAATTGAACCACAACTGGGAGTCAGCTCAGATTTTCTCTTAGTGCAGCCACCAGAAGACTGGTGTCAAAGTCTTCCGTGCGTAGAAGGCATCACGAACGTGGTTTGTTCGTCAGGCGACCAGCCACTTGCGGGTCACTCTCATCATGCCATACAAGGGAATGTTTGAGGTGAGTGCAGCAGCATGTCTACTGCGCAGCTGACCAATAGAAGGCCGTAATCTTCACAGGTGAGTACAGGTTTAACTTCCGAAGTGATAGTAGGCGTTATTTGATTCTGGAATGTCCTCCATATATCTGTGAAAATGATACATACGAAGGAGGCGGTGTCAGTGTGAGGGGTGGTATTCCTTGGGGTAGACCTACAAACCTGCATGTCTTTCCACGTGGAACCGTGATTGTTCACGTACGTGGATATGACAGACTTGATGTTTATGACCACCCTTATGCTGATGCAATAGGTGATGATTTCTTGATACAGGATGATAACGCAAAGCCACAGAAGGCTTGCATCGTGGATGATTATCTTCAGCAGTACACAATTCAGCACAAGGAGTGGCCAGCTTGATCACCCGACTTGAATTCCATCGAGGGTTTTGGATGCTTTGAGAAGACGTGTAACTGCTCTGAATCGTCCTTCTCAGACCCTTGCCACGCTTGCAATTGCTTTGCAAGAACTACTGCACTTCCAGTGGAACTGGTAGACTGCATGATTGAAAGCTTCACATCGCAATTGACGCATATGATTTATTCATTTCTTATGAATGATAATTTCTGCAACACCGTAATTGTATGGTTAATACTTCTTATTTTATTTTATACATTATTGTGAGCTCAATAATGTGTGCCCTTTTCATTAAATTCTATGCGTAACTTTTTGAGTTATGGTCATTTTTGTGATTTTTCCTTAATTTATGATAACAATTGCATAATAAAGTTAAAGAAATCTAAGAATACGATTTTATTTAGCGTCACATTAAGGTTGGAGTAAATTTTACTAACCGATATATTGAATGAGTTAAGATTATTAAGCTAAGGATTACTTAGAAAATGAGTTAAGATTGTGTAAACATGATACCTTACTTTATAAACATTATGCTTTTCTGTAAGCTTGTCAAATATGCTGTACATAGAATTGAGCATGGAAACCACCTGCATCGGCGTAATTCTACTGCAGATTTCTGTAAAAGACACCACATCGCTAAACAGTATGGTTACGCTCTCAAAATACTGCAAAAAAAAAAGAGAAAAGGAAATTATTAAATTTTAGAAATGTACTACTAAGCTCCTAGTATCTTTGTGAAGTTAGATAAAAATAATCAATACCGACTTCTGACCATAGCCAAATTTGGGATGTTGTGATTTAAAGATTGATTTTTATCACTTTTCCTTATTTTTAAGAAACAATTCCAAAAAAAATTTCTGGATTCGCTTAAAGTGTTTCGAATAATTAAGTATATATCTCTAACATTCAATCAGTGGATTAAATAAAGTTTTGTTTGGTAGTTAACGATGTATTAGAGCCACACTAGACGGTGACGATACATGAATTTAGCTCTAGTACAACGTTGATAGCCAAACAAAGCTATATTCTATCATGTGATTTAATTATAAGCCGTCCAGTTGGGGTGGTGGATATAGTTTTTGTCGAACACGACTTGAACCAGGGTTCGATTCCCTGTGCTAAAAAGCAGGTTGTCTTTTTGGATTGTACTTTCTTTCATTATGTCTTAGTGGTTTGAAAAACCTTCTAATGTATTGTCACCGGTATGTTAGGAGCTTATGAAAGGATATAAAAGGTAGAGCTTGTAAAAACGGCAACCTACGCGGAAAAGAAAAGAAGTGTGGTCACAACTATCTGAATATGGTAAAATCTACCGTGTTACTAGCTCAATGAGAACAACAAAAAGATGGGAAATTTTTACCGAAGTGCTTTGGTAATGATTTTGGTAAAATGAACTTTGAAATATGGTATGTGATATGCAATAGCCCATTAGTGTAGCTCTTGTAGTACATTAACCAAAGTAAAATAAAACCAAAAACTTTAATTCCAAATGTATATAAGTTGTTATTTTAGATACATAACATAAATTCAGAAAAATATATTACTAATTTTTTGTGACGATAAGTTTAAGTTATAAAAATTGATGTTTAACAATGACAAAACTCTTAACAGCAACAACAAAAGATAGACTTTTTTCTTAAATTTAATTTAACAGCAAAAGCACGTTTGGATCTTTGCATCTTAAAACAAAATTTTGCTCACAAAAGCCTTGAATTTAATGGCTCATATTTGTTTTTGACAAGCTAAGTAAAATATAACATTTGTCATCATAGCACAAGTATGCGAAATAAATATCACTTTCCAGTATTTATTTTCTCATTTTTAAGTGGAATGTTTAATTTCGAACTAGTGAAGCCTAAATATCATTTTATATATAATCTAAAGTAGAAGAAGTTATTCGATTGAAATTTGAAAATAATTAAAAGAAGAGCTAGATTTCGGGAAAATTCTGTTTAAAATTTTCATGCATATTGTTGTGAGGGAAATTTTATTTTAGTTTTTATAATAGACTTAAATATATTTCAAGTAATTAGTTTGAACTTTTTATTTAAAATATACGCTTGAAAATTATATCAGATGATATTTCTTTGACTGCAGAAATTTTATTTTTATATATGTAATTAAAAATAAAATTTTGTATTATGAAATAATTATAATGTAAAAAATGCATTTGATATTTATATGCTCGATGTATTTAATTTTATGAATTTATTTTAGTTCCTTTATGGCTGCTGAAATAGCATTTGAAAACAATTTAAATAAATTCAATAATGACATTTAAATTTTAACATTAGTATTAGATTCTATTTATTCAGATGTAATTAAATTAAACATTCTGCAGGCTTCAAAAAGTATTCTAAATGCTTTGTTTAGATTTCATCTATAATAGATATCATCTGTAAATATTTAATTAACATTTTTGATTTTAACATACAGATATTATGTTTATTAACATGCAAATATAACAAACATTGTAATGGGATCTAAAAGTATTCGAATTGCTTTGTTTAAACTTATTTTTCTGTAATACATATCGTCTGTAAAAATTACCAAACATTTTTACAACTTCTTTAAGTTTTTGGAAAGAATCAAGATCGTATTTAATTTTATCGTTTGAAAATAAATTAGTTTATGAGAAAATAATTTTCATTTGATTTATTAAAATTGCGAATGTTATTGAGCAACTACATTATATGCCTTAAACTTATTTTCGGGATTAAACCATCTGCTTCAAAAGCAATGAAAAATGAAGAAAGCATTTAAAAATGACTGTTTGTCAAACAATTATATTTGTTGGGTATGAAAAGTTCTAAGATGTTACAGATCCGTCGAAGATGATTAGCGATCTGGTGGATTATCCACTTCCATTTTTAGTCAAGGTACCAATTATATCTGAGAACTGATACTCGGTAATAAGATACATTATTGAAAAAGTTCTTATCTCGTTTTATTCCTTACGAGCAATTTTAAAAGAACATTAAAAGTTGCAAAGCCTCGTAGCTCGAACTTATAATTTGTTTCGAACGCAACAACGAGTACATGTAGCCAGAGAGATGTTTTCACAAAGCAGTTAATTTTAAAACACATTTTTACTGGTGATGAAACTTGAATCAATATTTTGAAAACAGGAACAGCTCTGATATTAACATACATGATAATACTTTTACTTTCGTTACTTGTAACGAAACTAAAAGTAAAGAGTACGTACTTTTACTTGTACTTCGTTACTTTTCAAATTTAGTACTTTTACTTATTTTTCCTTACTTTATTTGGGAAAAAAAACAAGTATTTGTAGCGAGAATGTTGAAAGAAATCGTTACTTTTTTGCTGAAATTTAAAAAAAAATTTCTTTAAAAAATATATTTTTTTTAATTTATAAATTTAATGTATTATACATTCTTTAATAGCTAACTTTAAACATCTTTAAGGATTGCAATTTCCCGAAAAGGAGAGGGTGGCTGGTGGGGGGGGGGAACGTGAAACCCTTACTTTAATGAATTTACCTGCATACAAATACTTTTTTTTACTGATTTCTGTAAACAAAAATTATAATGTTATTAAATTTGTTCAACAAATCAATTTGTTACAAAAAAATTTTAAAATTAAAAGTTAAATTTCTTAAGATTTAATAGTTTCAAAATGAGCCTAATTTAAAATTCCTCTTTATAAGCGAACATTGAATTTTTATTTTCTCGTTTGGTTTCTTTAAACGTTCACTATTTCAATAGAACCTATTTCTGTAAACAAAAATTATAATGTTATAAAGTTTGTTCAACAAATCAATTTGTTACAAGAAAACTTTAAAAGTGAAAGCTATATTTTTTAAGATTTAATAGTTTTAAAATGAGCCTAATTTAAAATTCCTTTTTATAAGCAAGAATTGAATTTTGATTTCTCGTTTGGTTTCTCTCAACGTTCACTATTTCAATAGAACTTTGGAACATTTCCTTGCATTTTAATCCATTATACCTTTAAATTAAAAATGAATGAATTTTAAATAAATTTTTCTTGCATTTTTAACGAAATTCACGATTAATTTGAATGTTTGATTTCCTGGAAATGTACTTTAAAATCATTAGTTTTTTGGTTTCTCTTATGCTTTTACTTGTGCTTTTTACTCATTTTTAAAATCAAAACTTTTCTTAAAGTCTTGCTTAAAATGCTTTTACTCGTTACTTTTTAGAAGTAACGTTTCCATGTATGGCAATCAAGCAGTTCGTGCTTGAAAAGAGAGCGAAACTGAAAAGTTCATGTCGAAGTTGTTCAAAAACTAAGGTAATGGTATCTGCTTGTTTTCTTTGGTTCCTGTTGTGTTATGCAATTTCAATTCGTACCAATTGCCTAGAAAGTAAAATAAATATTACTATTTCGAGTGTTTTGTAGTGTTTGCTCGAAACAATTCACTGAAAAAAAATTATAACATGCTTTTTCAAACTGCATTATTTGTCAATTTTTGACGAAATATTTATTAAATGAACTCACGAGCATCGCACATTGAAGTAGGAAAAAAGTATTTTGAAGGAGAGGGAAAAATTTTTCAGCTAATAAATTTATATCTTTTGCTTTATGTCAACATTCTGAGTATTTTTTTTATTAGTTATCACATATATATTGCTCGAATCGTTCCAAAGAATTCGAATTTTAACTGTACGTATTTTTTAAGAAATCGATTTTTGAGGAATTATTCGATCAATTTCACCGAAATTTTGAATTTTTCTTTTTGTATTTTTTATCTCCTTTGAAAGTAGAATATTACTTAATTGAATTTAACAGCAGGTTATTTCTTACATAAAAATTCATTAAAAAAATTTAAGAAACTTATTAAGTGATATATACTGTGCGTTATGAATCGTATTTAAAAATGTAATAAGAAATCTTTAAATCAGAAGAAAACTTTTTTCTTACAGCTACAAAAATGGAAACAGGAGAAGCGAGATTAAGAGGCAACCTTTCAATTTGAATAATATTCTGCAAGGAAGTAGTTTTCGCTATCGATATTATTCATTACATACGCTCTGAAATCATTACATCGCTTCTAATTCATTCGAAAATGAAGCAGATCGCTTAACTGATGCACTCATTCCAAACAAAAGGCAAACACATTATTTTAATTGCATAATTGTTTATTACCTCATACGTAGAGCACGGTTACCTATTTTTACTACTTTAAAAAAAAACTAGTTGCTTTTCGCTTTAAAAAAAACAATGAACAAAGTTTTTGTAGTATTTATATGAATGCTTGATCTTGTCTGATTCGGGTGAGAAGATTTCCAATCTGGAATTATTTTTGCTCATAAAGTTGCAGAATTTCCTTTTTAAAATGACGTTTTTAGTTTTTTTTTTATCGAAATGTACGCTTTTAAAAACTTTATATATATTTAACGGGAGTCACATAAATGTTGCCAAAAACTTCTAAAAGAGTTAAGACACATTAAGACACACACAGGTTTAAAATGGCTTAGGAGCACAAGCCCAGAAAAATCGTCATACACGGTAAAGGGCACCTCTCTATACGGATAAACAGTTCTCTCTCACGGATAAACAGTTCTTATCGAAAAGCACCCCTAGTTGCGTATTACGACTTTTCAGTGCATGGGTTCCTATGCAATTTTAATCTTGTCCTTTGTGCCTTAACTACTCTAGAAAATTGTTGTAGCATTTATGCGACTCACTGTTATATATAACGTTTTTAAACTTGTACTTGTACCAAATGGACTAAAAATTTCATTTAAAAAAATTGCTGCATGGAGAGGAAAACCGATTTCAGATTTGAAAGAAGAGATACGAATATTAGGGATCTGTGAAGAAATCTCATACAACAGAAAACAAAACCCCCAGTATAATTTATGGATTATCTTAAAAAATTAAAGCTTATTAGGAAAGTATTCACGCTGTTAAATTTTTATATTTTTCTAGGAAAAATTATTAAAAAAAAAACATTTAAACTTTTTAACTTTGTTTCCTATAATTTAATTTGACTGTTTAAATATCTTCAACATTACCTGACAAGTTTCGACAGCAGCTTCACCTTTGCGTAAGCGATCTGCTACTTGCTTCGGGATCATCTGATACAGAAGCTCGTCTGTCCTTTTCATTTCTATGTCTAGTTTTCTCATCGATTCTTCCAATTGTTTGCTTTTTTGTAGTTCCTGGAATTAAGAAGTTACAAACATTACACAATCAATTAAAAATAATTAATTTACTTAAAGGTCGGGCTTACCATCAGAATGCATTAACATATTCTGTGTCACTCTAACCTTCATTAACTATTCAATCCTTCACTTTTTAAATTTGATATTAATATATTTTTTTAAATATATTATGAATAATTTACATAATACACATTTTTCTCCCTTATAATGGTATTAAGTACATTTATTATTAATATAAAAAGTTTCAATGCTTTCATTCACTTAAATTATTAACATTTTGTAAACCAAAGTTAACAATGACCCTTATGCACAGCGCAGAAAAAAAGGGACTATTCTGAATAATTTTTGAGCTAATGATCGGATCTTCGTCTTTTAGGATTCAATCTTAATGGGTCGTAAGGGTGGTCTCAAATATGCTAATTAAAAAGTGCAGAAGATATTTTAAATTGCGGAATCAAACAGCAAGACGTACTCTCTCTGAATAAGCATGCCTTTTCTTCAATGGCATCGGATTTCTGACCACCAAAGGGATATTCGTAATCTGGAAAATATGACCCCTATAGTTTGGTCAGGAGAGCTGTCCAAAACTTATATCCTTAATGTTAATTTTACTTTCTGCTTATTTAGAGAATTTTACTTATTAAGTTAATTTTACTTTCTGCTTATTATTTGCTGGAGAACTTTTTGAGCGAATTGAACAATTTTTGAAACCTGTAATAAAATTTGTAAAAATACAAAAAATAAATATTCGTAAATATTTACTATTTTATTTATTAATAGTCGACAAAATTTTGAAGTGTAGAGTATACAATATTCTACGTAATTTCAAAGTATGTAATTTTACAAGGCAAAATACAAAATTTAATTGAAATCGATTGATTAGTTCTAGAGAAATGAAATTTTGAATATACGACTTCCTTAAAGTTCAATTTCTCAGGAACTGTTGGACCGATTTCACTCAAATTTTGTATTTTACCATGTATATTTACATACTTTAAAATGATATAAAAAATTGTAAACCTAACTATTCAAAAATTTTCCGACTATTATTAAATAAAATAATAAAATTTATTTCTTTTTGCATGGATAAATGAATTGGATAAATGAATTTTATAATAGTGTGTAAAATTTTTCAATTTGATTAAAAATTTATCGAGATGTACCGAAACACGCAAAAAGTAAAATTAACATGAAGGGGTGCACACATTGGACCTCTCTCCAGATCAAACTATCGGGACCATATTTCCCAGGTTGCTGCTACCCCCCATATTTAGGGAGTGAGAAACCTGAATCCGTCGAAAGAAAGGTATGTGCATTCAGAATACGTTTTTGTATCTGAGTTGCGTACTTTCGTAACTATTCCGTGAGAATCCGTAACTTAAAATATCGTCCGTAGTAATTAATTAGCATATTTCAGATCATTAAGAATGAGTCCTACAACATGAAGATCTGATTATTAGATCAAAAGTTTTTCAAGGTAGTCCATTTTTAATTTTGCTCTCTATACACGCAAATATACCAAAGGTTTCTTTGTATAGTTACATGTGTTTTTCTGGTGTATTTCCTAAAAGTTCCAAAAAAACATGCAAGAAAACTTCCAGTAACTCTACTAAATGCTTATCGGTAAGCATGCTAGGAAAACACAGGAAATACTACTAATAAGTCCTTAGTTTACTAAGTTTAAATCAGTAATGCTTCTAATAAGCTCGTGAATCCCAGTTCCCTAGGTTTTTTCGAGAAATACATTGTTTTTATACTGTACCTGTAAGTCATTTAATAGGTTTTTTCGAGTAATACAGTGTTTTTATAGTGTAACTGCAGGCTAAGTCATTTAATAGGTTTTTTTCGAGTAATACAGTGTTTTTATAGTGTACCTGCAGGCTAAGTCATTTAATAGGGTTTTTTTCGAGTAATACAGTGTTTTTATAGTGTACCTGCAGGCTAAGTCATTTAATAGGTTTTTTTCGAGTAATACAGTGTTTTTATAGTGTACCTGTAGGCTATGTCATTTAATGGGTTTTTTCGAGTAATACAGTGTTTTCATAGTGTACCTGCAGGATAAGTCATTTAATAGGTTTTTTCGAGTAATACAGTGTTTTTATAGTGTACCTGCAGGCTATGTCATTTAATGGGTTTTTTCGAGTAATACAGTGTTTTCATAGTGTACCTGCAGGATAAGTCATTTAATAGGTTTTTTCGAGTAATACAGTGTCTTTATAGTGCACCTGTAGGCAGTGGCATACGCAGAATTTTTTCAAGGGGGGGGGGGTTCATAATTTTCAGAAATTACTAAAAGAAATTCGAGTATGTAATAAAGCACTTTTACTTCCCTAATTTAGACAGCTAGACAATTTTGACTTTTTGTTTCGACAACATTGTTTAGTTAAATTTTGTTTTTATTTTTTAAGTTTAAGAATATAATTTTTTTTATAATAAGAGGTAAAATATTTTATTTTTATTAAAAAGTAGGAATAAATCAAGCCAGAAAAAACTACTCATACTGTAACATCTACCTAAATAATAACCATATAAATGTGAATATTCCATAGAAAACCAATGAATTTAACTAAAAAATGACTTACCAACAAATAGGGAATTAAACCAGTATACAAACACGCTAAAAATTTATTGATTTATACTGTAATATCCAAACGACGGGGTTTTTTTGCAAGTTCGTTTAAAATGTCTTCGACAGCTGGGGTAAATTTTCTATGAATGCTTAAGAGCGCCAATCCATTCATTCTATTATTTCCCGTTGAGTTGCGTAAATAAGTCTTCAAACGGCGCAAAGTCGAAAAGGATCTTTCGTTTGCACTCGTTGAAACAGGTAGAACGACCAATATTTCTAGGAGTTTGAAAATTTAACAC